TTATTTATTAGTTTTCTTTTGGTAACAGCTGTGATGTATTCTCTGCCAGCAGATACACGTCGATGACTTTTGCGTTAGTCCGGGTTCGTTGCGATGTTTTGCTGCACCGACCTTGAACTGTTGGTGCATACCCGGGATTAGACTACTTCTACGTAATACTATCACAAAAATATATTAGAATATTATTTTAAATAAGATATCTCATTATAACGCTAACGCTAAAATATAATAATATTTGTTTTCTCTAGACTTCTAGAGGCAGTGGCCTTTTGTAACGCCTTCTTCGTTGTCAATTGAATTAAAGTTTGAAAATTGAATTTAAGTGGAAAACGCGTTGAGTTTATTCACACTGTGAAATAACAAACAACAATGTGAATTGAATTTTATGATACAAATAGCTGAATTGGATCTTTGATTAATTTAGTATCTTTTACGTTTACAAATGAAGTTTCTGTCGATGTGTACATTTAATACTCGAGCATACGGCGAAAGAAAACATCGTGAGGAAAACAGCCATGCTCAAAATTAAATATAATATAATTTTTTAATAAGAATTCGGTGTTCTTGAAGGCAATTAAAAATTAAATATCTTAGTTTATTTATTATAATAAAAAAGCCTCTGTATGTATACGTAGTCTCGAACGCTCTGTATCCATAATTATTGCTTATTTAATCATTAATTGTGAGTATAATTAGTTTTTATTATATTAGTCTTATAACTTTATTGGTACACAGAAATAACGATTAACAGAACAATTAAACTGTCGATTATTTCGTTAATTGTGGTTTTTAATTCAATTATCACATTTGGCGTATCGGATAATTTATGGATCTGAATTGTTGATTGACCGCAAATGTAATTTAATTCGTTTTAAAATCGATAAAAGGTTTTTAAAACCACGACGTTTTACTACTAATTACGTTCTGTGATAACTGATAACTCATGTTCAATAAATAGCGATAATGCGATACTTTCTTCTCGGAAAGAAAAAAAATAAACACTGACGGGCATTGCCCAGACATTAGATATAATAATAAAAAAGCAATCAATTCTCTTTTGTTTTTTTAAACATTTAGTCATTTGATTGCGTTGTGTTGGAAATAGATACAAATGCGCGGACCTTAAAAGATTGTATCGCCACTGTTTCTTTTCTTTATTTTTAAAACGTGTTTTACTGTGTATTTCTTTCCTGTAAAAGCATAAAACGACAGAAGAAGAAGGAAAGAGCATTGGTGCTGGACTGGATTCGAGCCCGCAAGATTAAGAAATAGGCTTTATAATTAGGCTTCAATGGGGGGAAAATCATTGAATCAGTCACTTTTCTTAGAAATGTTAGGACTTGAATATAATATCACTTTAATATTATGTTTGGTTTTTGCGAGTGGACATTAATAGTGTGCATAAATACAATTAAATAAAATATCTCCATAGAAATATAACAGCGAATTTCCTGTATAATTTGACATATAAAGTGCTTTTTTGTAATAATGTAGCTTTTTTGATTCAAAAATCTCGTTTTCGATCACAAAATTTGTTCCATAGAATGGGTTTTTTAATGATAATTGTACTCTACATATGACAGACATTGATTTTACCACCATCATCCATATGTTTGCCTCATCCAACCTCTTGTAGATACCGTCACCAATATCAATTGCAAAGAAGAAACATATTTATTTTTTTAATTGCATATTAGATAAATTTTTAGTGGGCCAATACTCTAGTGCATTTTGAAGTCAGTTAATTTTAATTTATTATCTACGATTATACGAAGTTAAGGTTTTACATTTAGAAACATTAAATCGCAAACTAGACCTTCATAAATGGAACACCATTGCCTCCATTAGAAAATCATTTGAATTTTTCAAATTCCCTTTTCCATACAAAGCGTACTCTCATTGCGCTAGTTTCCTTAATTATGTAAATGTTCGTCGGCCAAACGTATGCTAATGCAACCAAAGCTACGGGCTACGGTACATTTCGGTTTTATTGCGTGAGAAATTATATCTTATGCTTAGTACTTATGTACTTTAATTATTTGGAGTGCTTTTAGCTATTTATAATTTTTTATTGATATGATATATACTGATGGCGCAGCTGTAAAATTCGTGTAGCACTTTTATCTATTATTTTTCTAAGAACCTCAAAATCAAACAAATTATGTAGGCCAACGTTTTTTCGAACTTCCTAATATATATTTTGTTAGAATACTCATTATGACGTAATATAAACAAGAAAACAATTATAAATGTATTTTTAGTAGGAACAAAGAAAAACCTTAAAATGCTATTTAATCTTTAATAATTATAATTAATAATTTCGTTTCGTTTGATATCTTAAGAAAACACTGTAGACATTTTCCATTATTATCTTTCGTAGTTACGTATACATTTACAATTACTTAATCTAACGATTTATAAAGTATTTCATATCTTACTATAAAATAATATTTAATGGAACAATTAACCCACGTGCTGCATAATCTGAGAATTTGCACAACGTACAGTTAACTTGCAGGCTACAACGCATGACATTTACTAGGTTTTGAATGCTATTTTAACGTTAGGCGTTAATTCTAGGTCCAGGATAGGAAATCTAGTTTATTTTGTGGCCAGATTAAAACTGTTAAGAAATATTCCATATAAATTTCTATTTAAATAGTTAATTTGTTAAGTAGTTATTTTAGTAGTTGTAAAATTCTGTATTGATTTTTGTAAAAAAATTGTCAACTAAGTTATGCACACACATTTTTTCCTAGCCTATGGTAGGGGAGCCCACGATGCTAAATGGGGATTTACTCGAGCGTCGTAGAGACCTATTGGGATGCAAAGCTTAGATAATAAGAAGAAAAAAATGTTATATGATAAATTCCTTTTCATCGGTGGGGGAAGCGGCTATAGATAGTTAAATATGTAAAAAAAAACTGTTGCATGGACATCCTCGAGCGCGTCAGATATTGATAGCATCTATGCCCTACGTATTTTTAATAATGTACGTATGTTAATCTGATCGTTTGCATGATGCGGGTGGTTGTATTTAAGGGTTGAAAATGAAAAAAAAAAAATTTATCGAGCGCGTCAGATTTTCTAAGGGAGTGTTAAGTGCACCAAAAAAAAGCTCTCATTCACTAATCTGACGATTTCGATGGGACGCAAACCCACAGCCATTTTCGTAATTTGCAAAAAAAAATCGCAATTTTGAAATACTCAAGCGCGTCAGATTAAAATATATGTGGTTCATCTTTATGTTCTAAACGTACTGTCTCATAATCTGACGATTATCTAGAGGGATTCGCCTGATCTGACAAAAAAAATTTAGAAAAACGGTTCACCTAAAGGGCCATCCCTGCAACTTCCCGCTAATTCCATTCCTGGGCGCTTAAAATTGATATTTTGAGCTCGCTGAGTTCAAAGAAATAACATTTCTATGCATTTGAGCTCTCCCAGCTCGAAAGTCTGATAGAAGTTTCATAGAACACTATTTTTGGAATTTTCAAACCGCAATAACTTTTGAATGGATCAAGCAATTTTCACGCGGTTGGCGGCATTCGACGCAGTTTTATCATCCTCATAAGTAATTTTAATTGATCGAACCACAAATTTCGGAGTAATCCCGAATAAACACTTTTTCGGGTTTCTTTCGTTGACGATATCTCTCGAACGAATCAACCGCTTTTGACCAGCTTAGTGGCGATCAACGTGGTTTTTCAAGCTCAAAGGCGGATTAGTTTTTGAAGTTGATCGATAAAGAAACCACTTTAAAAAAAAATATTTCTTATTTTTTTAAGATTTTTCAAAATTTCTCAAAATGTATCGGTCCGAATCGGTTCAAATTCACAGGAAATGTAATTTTGAGGGAAATATTTAGAACGCCGTTTAGTAGATTCCGATCGGTTTAAGGAAATGTAGGCATCACGCAGCTGCACGCATTTAACTTTATCGACGGATTTTTGTTATTTCGGCTTGCGGAAATCGTCAGATTATATATTTTTCATTATTCTTGAATTATTTCCTTCAAAATAAAAAAAAATTAGCCACGCTCGAGAATGTCGAGATGACGTTTTTTTTTACAACTTTGTTGCCCTCCCCTTTTTTCCGTCACTCTCAAATTGTCAGATTAGTGGAATATACACTTTTTAGGATGTAATTAACTCACCCTACCTTAATCTGATGCGCTCGGGAATTTCTGATGGTCAATTTTTTTTTACTAATCTGATCCTGTCTCCTTCACAGGCGGCCTTATATATCGACGCCTCCCACGCATAAAGTCGTAAGGCAAAAAAAGCATTTTTTCAGGAGAGCAATTTTTGTGTACGTTAATGATAAACTTAATTTGTTAAACATTTTTAACCGATATTTTTGCACTATGCGATTAATTATTAGTTACAAAACATTGCTCTCAAAGCTGGATGCTATAAAAAATTATATTTATGCAAAATTACTAATTTTAGTTACATACGACCTTATACTCACTAGAAAAACGTCGTGTCTTATTGTTACGACTTTATGCTTTTAATCAGGTTGTTATAAACAACGCGAATAAAGTCGTATGTTTGAATTACGACATTATGCTACGCGTAAACTGCCATATAGGTATCTCGAAAAGGTGGTCGTATGTGGTGGTGGTACTTCATGAATAAAAACAAAAAAAATGTGTAGGCTAAAACTAGCTTTATTAAAATATCTATAAGTATAGGAACATAATGCAGTCTTCTTTCATTACCATGAACAGTATAATAAACGTTTAATAAAAAAATAACATAGCTTCACTAATAAAATTAAAACTGGCCAGTGAGTCTTTGGAGCACAGATAGATTAATGAAATAAAAAAATGACTACAAATAAAAAATAAAAATAAGACTGATAAATCAAGTTAAAGGAAACAAAAAATATTTAAATCTTCAAAATAAAATGAAAATTACTTTAAATTAGATATTGAATCATCTTATACATAATAGACCTTTAGATTTATGATAGAATATCAGTGATGTAATTGACGGTTATTCAGAGGAATCACTACTGTTCTGTTCTGCAACATTGCCGCTGTGTGACAACTGTTGATAAAAACTATGGTACTCTTGAGGTATTATACGTCCTTGACAAAGACTTAATAAATCATTAAACTTTGCTAATGTAATAGGTAAATGGTCAGAGTAACATGGACCTAAAATTTCTGTATGTAATAAATTATTATTTTTCCTTCTTGATGAATAATTTTTTTTGGTTATTAAACTCATAATGTTATTTTCTTCTTCAAAATTATAACGATAGTTCAAAATATAGGGTTCGTTGGACACTACCTGAACTTCTCTAATCTTGTTCCATGATATTTTTGGTTTTTAGTATTTTTAGCCCAATTTCTACCGTCTAGCAAAATTTTATAATTGTAAAAATCTGTAACACTCATTTCAATTACATTATAATTTGGGGGGTTGACTTTTGACCATCTAACTAAGGCAAACCACTGTGCAGGAGTATATATAAGTTTATTTTTTGCATTTCTCTCAATCAAAGCATGAACTGAGTCGGCTTCATTTTGTGTGTGCCCGCGCTCTAAAAACCTATGAACTATCGTTATACCATACTTTTTTGCTACATAGGTATAACATGCAAACACAATACGGTTTCTATTTTGGCCGGCACAGTTATCGGACCAAAACCTGAATTCTTTGGCACCTTGACTAACTTTAGTTTCAATAAATTTAGACAAGCAACTTGCTACTTCACACGCCCCATGTTTGCCATTAACCTCGGACCACATGTAACAATAACCTTCTTGACTAGCTAGATCAAACACAGTAAAATTATAAATTGACAGTTTTCTTTTATAATAAAATAAACCGACATTGCCATGGGGACAGTTTAAAATTTTTTGGAAATCAAAACACGCCGTAACTATTTTTCCTTTGCTTTCCAAAGCTTCCTTTTTATCATTTGCCTTCACTTCTCTAGCTTTAGTCTTATTTCGCATGTGAAGTTCCTGTTTTTGTTTTTCTTCTTCTGTCATTGTATTTAAGTTTGTATTGTATATATGGCACTCATTGCAGATGTCTTTTTTCGGTTTGTGAAATGATATATTCAAATTTTGATTTATGATATCTCGATACTGTCTTACTGTCATTGCTTTTTTAGTTATATTTTCAATCGTACACCACTCATTGTATAATGAAAACATTTTTGTAAATGATAGGTCACTCTCTAAGTAAATTTTAGTAGTGTCCTTACGCACATAATGAGATTCAATAGGCTGGAACGTTTTGACATGTCTTAAAACACTCTGTTTCATTTCGTCGTCAATGACAACAGTTCTGGTACCACCACGCCGATCAGGAAAAACAGACCCACCACCTGAACTCCATTTTGCCAATGCTGTTTGAACAGTTCTCTCCCCTACAGAAAGTGTGTTTAGGAACATCGTTTTGCAGACAAACACTCTAATAGGTATGGCAGAGTTTGGTTCAATAAGAGGCAAGCAATACTTAATGGATTTCTTACGTCTAGAAGTAGAAGGATACTTAGTGTCGCCTACTTCGGTATGATTGACGATGTAATCCCATTGCCGACAGTGATCTCCAATTTGCCAAAAAGAACAAAATATACGCTCCCGTTCTTGTGCATTAAATTTTGTAAAGCATTTAAGTCGGCAAGTAGTCGGACATGGTTGTTTCAAAATCTTTCCATCTCTTTGAACTCCATTTCTGCTTAAATAGGCTTTCCCTAAATTTTTTAAACATTTTCTTTTTACGTCTTTCCACTCATCACGGCGACGGTGACGCTTTCTTCCAACTCTGCCTGACGGTGTACTTTCATTTGACGAACATACAGAAGAATCCTGACTCGAAGCGTTACTAAGCTGTGGTGTATTGCCTCTACTAACACTAACAGTTGAACCATAATTATTATCATCACAAATAGATGAGTTTCTAAATAACGGAGTTGAAGTGGCCACACTGTACTCGAAAAAATCGTTATTCGGGGAGGGCATTGGTGTTAAAGAAGGTTCTATTATATCAGCTGATTCGTGAGAAAACTCTTCAGCACATAGCTCTGAATCCATACATCTTATAGTTTTTTCATTTGGCATAGCAGACGACAGTGAGGATTTTGGTTCCGTATTATACGTTACCTCGTGAATACTTGTTACAAAACTGTTGTCAATATCACTGCTACTTTTATTAAAAGAGTGCCCAAACATCGTCTTGTACAGATTCCACTGGTCTTCAGCTTCAAGTGGCACCGGTGATTCTGAAAATATTGAAGTCCAATTAGTTAAAAACCTAGAGAAAAATACATAAGCAGTTATAAATAGAATTAAAAGTTCAATTTTAGTGATATTTTAGCTACAATTGAATAGCAGATAATCGTATCTTCATTATATAACAAAGCATAAAGTCTTATGTCTGTGATCCGTCTTTATACGTTTATTTATCTTTATACTACAACCACGCATATGGTCGTAAGTGTAAGTTACGACACTTAGAAAAATTTTTTTGCGTAGTATAAAGTCTTAACTGGCCACTGCTAGCGATTGAATCCGACGCATATAGTCGTAACATAGACCTTCCGACGTTATGCACCGGGACTACATTTTTTTGTCGAGGTCTATTAAACACTAACACTTATTAATATAATTTATTCGTATGATGGTATCTCACATATAAACAAGTGAATTATATAATAATGTAAGAAAATAGAGTAAAACTTACCATTTCCAAAATTTTCGTCGGCCGTTATTACTTCGCTGTTTGGATTGGGTTTATCTAACACTAATTTCAAAATCTTAGACGAACGTAGGTTGCTCATTTCACTAATTTATAATTGCACACGTCCTAACTAACAAAAGTAAACAAAAACAACACAACATCAATATTATTTTCAACATTTAAATTAGAGAGACTTTGTGCATGCTAGTTCGTACTTCGTGTCATACGACGTCGGTACTGCGCTCTGATTGGCCGGCTGAGGTCCAATAGATCGGAGCACATCGTCGGAACTATAAGCGCGACGATTTGCGGGGAGCGTTCAAATGTTACGACTATTATCAATTCAAAAACTCATTATTTATAGAAAATATTAAAATTTGGGTTTCAGGATTGTGTAATGCTGTTCAATAGTGTTCTAATGGTACAAAAAAACAATTTTACTCAAAAAATGTGTTCCGACTTTATGCGTAGGAGGCGTCGATATGGACCTCATGTTTTGTGGAGGTACTTAACCGAGTACAAGCTATCCCCCTGTATATTAATCTGCCGCGCTTTAGTAAATCCCGAAATCCCCTCTTGGGCTCCCCTACCATAGTAGAAATGGCTGTTTTTGATTAATCCAATGAAGTGTTTATCAATATGTAAAACAAATGGTGCAATTATTTGCTCGAACGGTGAAGGAAAACATCGTGAGGAAACCGACATGGCTGAGACCCAAAAAGTCGACGACGTGTGTCAGGCACTGGAGGCTGATCACCTACTTGCCTATTAGATTTAAAAATGAACATGAAACAGATTCAGAAATCTGAGGGCAAGACCTAAAGAGGTTGTAGCACCACTGATTTATTTTTTATTTATTTAAAACAAATGGTGAAGGTATAAATTTACAAGTCAGAGAACATTGTAGAAGAACCTCAGAAGCAAAATATTTTTTTTAATGGATTTTTCTTTCTAACAGTTATAATAATATTTCTTCATGCTGTTATAATAAATGGTTATTTACAGGCCGTTCCATCTGTGCTACCTTAAAATAGTTTTAAATTCACCGAGCATGGAATAACCGATAAACAGGTCGATGCAAAAACAATACTATAAAAGAACTAAAATATATTGAAACCATAATAGCACGATCGACGCTTTTAAAATGTAAGATGTCATTCAATACGCAGTAAGCATCACTTCCATGATCTCGATACCATTAAGGTGACGGAAAAGTATTCGATGAAAACGTGCAACGGAAATTCTTTTGTCACTTTACCTAATGGGCCGCCCCTTTTCCATCTGTTATAGAAACTAACACAATTTTATAAAAGTTTTCATGATTATGTATCTATATGTGTGTATATGTAAAGAAATAATTATATTTCTTACAATAGATTGTTTAGATTATTAATTATCTAATATGTGTTAACTGACATTTCATTTAATTGGTTTTGTTCGTCTGTGGAAACCCCAGTTTTGTCTTGTCATTTAAATATTTATTTGAAGTGTTTTATGTTGGAAAATTTAGGATTTTAAAGGAATTATATAATAGTAACTTTAAATTTTGTTTCTTAAAATACATATTTCAGCAACACATATGAGTTTTATTCATCATATATGTTATGTGGAGTTACTAGTAATTTGTTATTTTATTAAAAAAAAACTAATTTTATTTACTTGTGTAGTAGATAGTTTAGTAATAATAATGTAAGAAATTACTCACGTAAGAGTACCTACATCTTCTAATTCTGGTTCAGGATTTAAACCAGATTGTCAGACAAAGAATATATAATCCATAGGTTTACGTTCTAAGCTTCAATGTTTGATCGAGCGGACGCCTCTCAACATCCCTTGCGGACACCTTAAGGACATTGCGCCGTGGCACTCCAGGCCACCTGACAAGTACAGGTATCCACGTGAGCTATTCTCCGCGGATACCACAAACACCGGACAAGACGCCAGGGCAGCAACCGCGGCTACGACCGCTGGTCGCCTCGCTGGGCCTCCCCCGGGGCCACCGGGGGTTTCACCCGGCGGAGCTTGACCGCGAGCCACGTAGCTGCCCGAAACCAACGATTAAGACACCAGGGCCAAGTCGAGATTACTCCTTGGCCCCAAACCACCGGACTTGACACCTCGGATTAGACCCCATCGGCTGCGCGCAGCGAGTCGAGGCCAACGTCTCCTCGCGCGCTGCAGCCCTCACCTAGGATATGACAATATCCGACCCCATACCACCCTGTATTAGCAGGGCGCGAACCTCCACACCACCCGAAGGGGGCATATGCCCCGAACGGGACAAAACACACCCCCTCTAGAGGGAGTGTGTAACAAAATCCACGAACGGTCTAAGCTTCACTATTGTTACAGATATGTAGGTTTTAAGTCATGATCATATTGTTAAGTTACGTTGTATCTATTTTTTAAGTTTGTCTAAAATAATGGCGACGTATTTAATCGTCGGCGCATTAGTATTTTTAAATAGGTAATTATAATAACTAAAATATGTTCTATTTGAAAACTTAGTGTATTCATAATGTTTTGTATATTATATGTTCACCGTAATTGTCATATATTTCAGAACAACTATTGTAACGTATACTGTAGAAAATGTTCTATATATAATTTAGTTTACTCTGATAAATACAACACATTTTTCATTTATCAAAAATCCAACATACAGTATGTTATATTGCATACGCAACTCTCGTTCCAGTACATAGTTCGTCTAGTAGTGCAGAATCTAATGCATGCTAAGTTTTTTATGTTTTCTTACTACAGATAAAAAATCTGGTACATGAAATAATAAAGTAATAAGATACAAGCCTGAGAGTCTGTTTAAGTATAGAATATCAATTTATTATAGAATCAGATTTTATTATTAAATAGTCTGTCAATACTGTAATCCGATAATTAATTTTAGATTCAGTCTTGCGAAGTCAATTGTCAAAAATATTTATTTGTTCGTTATTAGTAAAAGGTTTCGAATTTAAATTGTGATATTGCTGAGTTTTATTAAATCAAAGAGTGAAGAGAGAACATCACAGCCATCACAGATAATATCCGTCATGATGATTCATAGATAACCCCTCAATCAAGGCCATCAATGGCTGAAGTATGACACACCACGTTTGTATGACAAATGAAGACGTCTGGACATCGCGATTAGTCATGCTCGCATCCATATCTTGAGAATCGTGCGTTATTCATAATCCTGTCTATTATTTTTTAGGGATGTCAAAGGCAGGTTTGTAACTTGTGTAATGACGGAAGGTGATATAAGTCTATAATTCAAAAATCTAATGTGGAATAGACAAGACTTGTTTAGTGTGCAGGCGTGATACCTAAAAGTATTGAAAAATATATTAATCAACTTTGCACCACGCGATCCCTAGTTTTATCAGCGGTTTTTAAAAGAACTAACAAAAACTCAACGTTGAAGTCGCTGGAATTTACAGAGTACCCTATCTATAAAACCCTATGAAAAAATACATTCTGTTCTTTAATGATAAAAATACTTAACTTGACTTAATATCCTATTACTCCTAGATGGGCGCGAGTGCGTCTATTGCGTTCGATTTTGAGCCTCGTATTTCACCTTGCTCCAAGTCTTTTCGGCTCTCTTTGCCTCCTCTGCAACTGTAGGTCGCCAGGTTTGCTTGGGGACGGCGTCGCTTTCGCTTTCCTAAGCGCTTTCCGAAGCGCCGGCTTGGGGTTATAATTCGAATCTCTTCGGAGTGCATGGCCTATCCACTTGCATCGCTTGATATTCTGGCTAATCGGGGTTTCTCGGCAACGCTGTGCCCCATTATAGATCTATTCGGGCCAGTAGATGCCCAGAATGCCCAAAAACTTGGAGTCTTTAATAATAAATAATATCACGAAAACATGTAAAAGCATATCCTTATATTTTCGTCGGCAACACATAAATGTGATGAGATGGCAACCCTAACTAATAAAGCTATCGCATGTTTGTCGATGCCTTATTCTTTTTCTGGAAGCTGAAATATTTGCGTCATCCCTTGGTATATTTATTCCCCATTAGCATTAAGTACGATTTAATATGTCTTATACATGCAATCTCACACCTGGACTTAATTGTTTTTATCATAATAAATATAATAGATTATTGTGCCGTCATTCTGTGGGGAAGATATATTTCAACGTTTGTTAGAGTTTCGACTGCGTCATTAGACCGTACAGTATACATATTGTTTTGATTATGAAAGTATGTACGTCAGTGCCTTAGTGCCTGAATTCATGACATTCTTTATATGACTTAACCAAAATGCCAGGGGACAGTGACACGAGAATTATAAAAGAAACTAAAAAATATGTAACTTATAATATAATATAACTGACTGATCTAAAATTATGGTGATTCATGACGTGCACTTTTTATTTTTCATGTGTCCTTTTTTAGTTTAGTTTTTTGTTCCTGTTTTAGTTTGTCTAAATAACTACATGTATTATGTATTTTTGAACTTCTTACTTAGCTTATCTAATTTAA